CGTATCAAGTAAGTTAGTTTAATGAGTAATTTTAATTTTTTTTTTTAATTTTTAAAATAAACTGCAATTATGTTGTATGTGCTCATTTTTAATAGACATCCAGTGTCCTGCACAATATTCATGGTTTAAAAGAGGAGAATTTGCTAATAATTCATGGGACAGCTGATAGTAAGTATTTAAAAATTCAATTAAATTTGCAATTATACGTAATACAGAGGCACTCAAAGAATGTAACAAGCATGCAAAATTTTACATTGATAATCTTTTTTCTCCCTTTTAGTAGAATTGACCAGTCAAAGAGATCAGATTGTCCATTTCAGCCACCTAATGTAAATCTAAATGGATGACATTTTCCTTTGCTACATATTTGTAACTCTTAGCTGCTTTATGTTCTAATTTGTTTAAATCTCTTGAAGCATGATGTTGCTAGTGAAAAGCACTGAATCAATTATTAATAAGATGACATACATTTTTAATGGTCTTTTAAATTAATCCCGATTTTGCAATGGAAAGTATAATATATGTCAGTGTAATCAATGATAAACAATATCTTTCAGTAAATTAACCCCTTTGGCTGCTTAATTCAAATGTAATAATGGGGAATCCTTAAATTATTTAGGGCTAGATTGTAATTTGTTCATGAGTGGAGTTTAGTAAACACTGTTGTAACACATGCCCAAGTGAAACCAGAACCAGGCCCACCACCTGCAATTAAAATTTGTGGGTGTCAGGCAGCCGAGATTTTCACCTGTATTGGTTGACAAGAAACTTTCTTTTAGTATATTTTTCTGATCATGGAAAGAGATAAACAGTGACTTGGATTCCTGGTCCATTTAGGGGACTAAAATAAATGTTATGCCTGGCACAACCTACCTACATCCCATACATGTTTGTCCTGCTCCTCTCAGAGCAGGTGGATGTGAACAAGTAGTAATGGATAGAGCCAATGTGCAGGTCAGCCCAGCAGAACTGGGATGGGAGACTTGGAATTTGCTGCTGATATAGGCCAGCAGCAAAGTATTACCCCTCTATCTCCGAGACCAAGGGGGAATTAGGGAGGGAATGAGAAGTGTCTGAGCAGCACAGTGCCTTTCAGAGACGACTCCTGGGTTTGAGCAGATAATGGACCTTCTTGCTCTGGACTGTGCCTAATAATATCGTCCAGCCCATCAGTTTCATGTTTGCTCTGAAAGAAGCAAATACAAGCCTGGTCACAGAGCTGCAAATCTGTACCCCATGAAGTTTAGGTTATTGAAATAACATTATAAAAGGCCCATTACCTAAATGAACCCAGTCTCTTCCAATCCTGCACAAACAATAGAAAATCTGACATACCTTAATTTAATCCACTGACAAACATTAATTGCATTTGAACACACCAGTGCTTTTCACCTTTCAACTGTATCCGTCCTTGCTAAAGAACAGATGAAAAACAAAAATCTCTGCTTAGTGTCCAGAAGGTATTTTGTATTACAATGCTATCCGTCGCTATAGCACTATTGTTATTTGCTACATTATGCATCTCAGGTACAGTCGGAAAAGATATGTCTACACTGCTGTCAATGGTGGGACTGGGGCATTACTCAAGCTAATTTTCGTCTAGCTAGCTCAGATAACAAGTGTCATAAATCCACAACAATACAGGCTGTAAACAGTGTGGGCTGTATAAACGGATCCTGGATGGGACCCTGAGTATATACTCAAGCAGCCAGCCCATGCTGCTACAGCTTCATTGCTATTTTTATTTTGGCTGGTGAGCTAAAATTAAATTGGGAGTGTATAAATGTTCTGCAGTCAAGCTTCTGATTGCAGTGTAGATAGAGCTTAATCAACTGCAAATCTGGTAGCAGTTTGCCACATAACTCCAACCAAAAAGTTTCTTTATCTAAGAGGAAAATAAATAAATACAAATAATATATAAGTACTATAATCATGTTGTTCACTAATATTTAGATGTCATTGTTTTGTAGCTAAAGTCCACTTCCAACACTCAGCAGAACTAATTAAACATCTGATAAAAGCTGGAGTTAATTACACTATGCAGGTATGTAATGCTTAGGTGTCTCACCAGTGTATTATTCAGTGTTTAATTGCATTTTGCTTTTTCTCACCTATGGGGCTCTTTGGATGACTTGTGCCCCCCGCAGCCTCCAGTATGCAGTAGGCCCATCAGTGATTGCACTTAGAATGCCATCTAACCCCTTGTCCTGATAGTTTGTAAAGAAGCCAAAGAAGGATCTTTGTGATGCTTCCATAGGACTCCCAAGTCTCAAGTTAATGCATGACGACTTACCTGTGGTCTCTGTCCTGTGATTGGATCACAGTTCATAAAAGAATGGGTCAAAACCACTATCTCACATTTAAAATGCTTTAGTAAAGTCCAAATATATTTCACCCAAGGCAGAGGTTCCCATACTGTGGGCTGTGGTGGTCACAGATGATGCATGAGGCACCGGCTGGTCACTCCGTACTGATTTTTCCTCCTTAATTTCAACTGCTAACTTCTGTGACAAGCAATTAAAAATATTTCAGTGGGGTTGCTCTCCCTCAGTGTCTGGGTTGCAGGCGGATGTAGTTTAAGGGAGTAGCTTGAGGAACGGCGGTAGAACAGAGTGTAATTTAGGGAATACAGCTGCTGGTCACCAGCTCCAGAGGAGGCCTATGCTGCTATGTAATGGCTCTGCCTGCAGTGGGTTGGCTTTTTAGTGAGTACTTGGCCCATTCATTCAAATACCCCTATCACAATGATACAGCACATACACTAGTGTGACTTGTCCACATAAGAAAATGCTGTGGTTGCCACGGGGATGTACCGAGAATCATAAATGGGAAGGATGAGGAGAGGAGAGACTCATAGTAGTGAATGGCGAAGGGAAGAGACACGGTGTGTGAGAATACAAATGGTACAGGAGGCAGTCTTCTGGATTGTAACTGAGGAGGTGATGATCACCGAGACTAAAAATAGAAGGCATAGGAAGCAGCCACAAAACACTGTCTATTTAGATGTGGTTCATTCAGTGGGAGTATTTCAGAACCTCAGATCTAGAGCATTCACTTTCTTTACCAAGATGCAATCCCCTCCTCCCTGGCTGCAGAAGGCCCCATAAAAGGACAGCTGCGCTAAGAGTAAAAGTGTTTGTTAGCAGACCCCCTGCACAAAGAGAAGGGAAAGGGAAGTGGGCAAGGTATTTTGGGGGCATAGATTGTGCTTTATTTTTATACAATAACTAGCACATTGTGGCATCTAATGGAGACAAGAATTATATGCCACCCACAGGTAAAGACTCTGCATTCTGTACTCCAAGCACTGGGATGGAGAATTCTGTGGAGAATTCTGTGGAATTCTGTGGAACATTCGTTCTGAATCCAAATCAAATGAATTTTGATTTAAATTATATTACTTTTCTTGAGACCATAAAACTCAAGTCATGTGTTCATCCTGTTGTTCACTAAAAAGCTTTGAAAGTCAGATGGAAGAAAATTAGATCCTGAAATATCTGAACTGATTTTTAAGACTATTTACTTTTTCCTTTTCCTTTGCTAGATCTACCCAGATGAAGGTCATAACATTGCATCGGAGAAAAGCAAATATCACCTTTACAGCACAATCCTTGGGTTTTTTAGTGCTTGTTTAAAGGAGGAAGCACCAATTTTACCACAGGAACCTGAAGAGGATGAGTGAGGAAGCCTGTTTGTACAGTACTGAAGGAGACTTACTTGGAGGCTCGATAAAACTTTAAATAAAAGTGACTGTAAGATTGCAGATTCTGCAGAAGCTCAAGGGCAGCTAAAGGATATAACAGTGGAACAGCACATTTAGAGACACTGAGCTAACAAACTGGAATTTAAGTCCAAACATATTACTGAGGGACAAAGCCTATATCTTTGTGGAAGGACAACGGTTGATTACAGCTTCCTGGACAAACTTAGTTTTGCATAAGTGTAGAGTTAGTGCATGTTTATTATGTTAAGCCTCACTGTTTGTTCTGTAAGTAGTTGCTCTGTTTTTAAGTTAAATGCACATCTTTATCCATCTTTGCATTACGCACTACCAATCATAAATATTCAGGCCACTTATATTTTAAAGGGTGAGTTGCAATCTAACACTTTACTATAACATTACAATAAGTGCAATTCTTTCCCTCTCTATTAAACATAGGAAAACACTGAGTTGATAAAGGATGGTGATATTTTCTATATTTTTTGTTTAAAGGGAAGATATTGTCCAGTGGGTCATATAACATAAGTATAGAAACAGTTTTGATTTTTTGTTTGCCTTGTTTTAATTTCAGACATTTATTATTGTTATTGCACCTATTGATAAGCAGTAAGGGCATTTGGGGGAGTGCACTCTTGGTCTTTATGTATATACACAAGACTTCCTAACCAGAAAAACATTGTATGCTTGAACAATTTTTCAAGCCATAATTAACAGCTATGTTTTAACAATGTCTGCAATTGAAATACTTCCCCAGTCCAAAATGTATCCTTTCCATAAGAAATGTTTGGGTTGTGTTTTGGTATTGTTTATAGTAGTTAATAGTTTGCTGGTTACACTCTAATTTTAGAATATGCTACTTTGTCAGATGTAAATTAGATACATAAATATTAAATTATAGTTTCAGATAAAGAAATTTTATTAACAATATAATGCCACTGAGTAATACTTTACCCTAAGAAAGATATCTTTGCTTAGATTCCATTCCAATTTTCATAGAGGTAGCAGGTAACTAGAACAGTCTGTCTGTTTTTATTTGGTATTCCACAACTGTTCATTGTCTGTTATAAGAAGGATTTACATTCAACAGAGTTACAAAGAAATGAAGTATTTTTCATTCCCAGCCAAGAAAGCTCCTGATAAATGAAGTTTTGTTATTTTATTCAGATGAAGATGCCAAAATGCATCCATTTATTTGTCACGGTGAATTACAACACTAGAAATTGATACTATGAAATGAACAAACCAGTCAACATCGGTCATCAGAACATTAACATCAACAACTGAAGTCATACATGATGTTCATTTAATATTAGGTATCTTCCAAAAGGTATCTGAAGGCTCTTGACAAATGCTGTGCAACTCACATAAATACATATGTATTTTTTTCTCTGAATAATATTTATTAATGATTTTCTACATGATTAGGGTTTCATTTCTTGCAAGATTTACATTAAAGTAATCAACATAATTTTTGGAAAGTAACTTATGCTATTTGAAATGCAAAGTTTTACATATTTTATGAAGAATTAAATTTTTTAAGGTACATTGAAATTCATTTGAAGCTTTTAAAGCAGTATTTTCCTCTGAAATACTTTCTTGCTTGAGTTTTTTTATGATGCAAATAATTAAGTTGTCTGAAAGATATGGTTTTATGGGGCACTTCAAAGTAATTGTCTATTAATGTTTAGTGTTTACCTTGTTTTACTAGCAATTTTTATCTATTTTCAGTTACTTTAATACACTTTTAATGTGTAACGACAGCTTGTCTGGGTCCCAGTGTTACTGCAAAGTCTGTCTGCAAGTGGAGGATATGGCGACACTGTTCTGCATTAAGATAAGATGTTATAAAAAATCTGAGTGCATCAATTTCATCAGCAGCAACAAGCAAGAAATCAACAACAAACCTACCAAGTCTGCTACAACAGGAGCAGCACTTTGACTTATTAAACAATTGAGATTTGTTCTTGTAAATTTACCAGACTAATTCCTTTGTCATTTTCCTCTGATATGCTTCCAGGAACCAAATTTTCTTGATCAAACATAACGGGTGAAATCCTGGCTCCACTGAAGTCAATGGAAATTTTGCCACTGATTTCAGTAGGGCCAGGTTTCCACACAATAAGTACACACAGAAGGTCTGCTTCTAGATGTACAAACAAGTACACTGTTGACCTCATCTGTATGGCATCAGTCTGCATCTGCCATCTGCATATGGTCATGCACTCTCAACACATGCCTGCTTTTTATTTATGAGCTAGCAGGCCTGCATTCTGATACCCACCAATACATTCAATATTTTTCTTATTAAGCCACAAATACAAACATTTCCACCGACTTTTCTTTATAATAGTCTAACAATCAGACATAGGGTGAGAGTCAGACCCTGGAGAACATTTTCTGGCTTAAAAATGAAATGATTATCTACTAGTTCAATTTGGGTATTGCATTCCACATTATTTTATTTCTGGTTGTTTGTTTGTTTGTTTGTTTGTTGTTGAATCAAATGTTTCTTTGTGGTTAGCTTTGATCATGCTAATGAGATTCAGATGTAGTTTAATCTTCTGAACATGGTCAGAACTATGCTGGGCCCTATAGTTTTCTATAGGCAAAAACAGGTATCGTTATTTAAAAAGAAGTGTGATGGTAAGTAAATGCATTATTATTACTCATTTGTATTTCAGTAGCAGCTAATGGTGACAGTCAGGCACTATAACCCAACTGTAGTAAGTACTGCATACATGACTGGCCCAGAGAGCTTGCAGTCTAAATATTCCATCCATTTCTAACCTCTAAGGAACTATTGTTAAGTCCCCAAAAAACAACTACTAAATTCATCTTCCTTTGATAATGTGACCTGTTTTTAGGCCATACCTGCTCTTTTGGGAAGGCTAGAAAATCAAAAGCTAAATATTTACTCTCCAACAGTTTATAATTCTGAACCTTCAAAATTCATTCCTAATCTTCTCTCTTCTACCTATAATATTGGGACTTGCAAGACTCATAAGAATAATGGATCAGATTGTGATATCAATTATACATTGAGAAATACCATTTATACCCGTGGAATTTTTCCTGATTACACTGCCTAATAGAGATCAGAATCTGGCCAGTTTAATTTAATTCTATATATTTATTGAAATATATGCTTTAATTTTAACACAGTCAGGGAAAGGGATTGTTTAGGAGAAACCTAATCAGTATATGCTACATGTAGCCTGCTGTTATCGTAATTTGCTATTTTTCTTTTAGACTCGGGCACCCACTACTTATTCTATTGCAGGCATCTTTCAATCTCCTCATAGGTGTGAGAGTTGAGTGTGACTCTGATCAGAGATTCAGCTTGCAAATATAATCTCATAGACTCATGTAATGAGTCTGTGCCTTGCCAGAGAGAAGGGCTGTCATTTGATTCAAAGACTTCCCAAAAGGGGATTTGGTAGTGTTGGTTTTGATTTGGTAGAATTAATTAAATGTGCAAAGCTCTTGCTCTGTAATTGAATATCCTTTACTGCAGTTTATTAGGCATGTTGAAAGTTCCTGAAACCTAGAATAATGATTGAAAGAGAAGATGAAGCAGGAGCAAACTTGTATTTCCTCTGCCAGTCCCTTTTTGGACAGCTAGAAGCACCAATTCATTTTATGTCTGCTTTGTGTAACTCCTGCTGGCTGCCATTCATTTCCAGGGAAGAGAGAACTTTACTAGCATTGTTAATTGGAGATATTCCCACAGAAAACCCTTTTAGGCACATAGGGAACACTCCTCTTTTCTTTAATTAAGTCCAAGTTGGTTAAGTAGTATGTATCAGACCTGACTCCATCATGTATTATACCTTGGATTCTACCAACAAGCTATCAGAATCCTTCATCAATTCTGCTTTGGTGATCGAGGTAAGTGCCTATATTATTGAAGAAGACTTAGATATGTTGATTTCTGTGGCACTACACTGATTTACATCACCTGAGAATCTGGCCTAGCAAATATAATAGTACTGTAGTCTTCAGATATATGCTGCTATTTTACCACTAGAATATCTAACCCACTGTCTATATTTGCAGAACGTTCAAGACTTTTTCTATGGAAATACTTTAGAAAGACAAATTTCTGCCTTTATATAAGTTTGAATCAACCAAAATTGATTCAATTATTGTAGTCTTTGAGGACATAAATGGAATATGTAGTTCCTGTTTTGTGACACTTCCAGTGCTGAAAGCCCAGAGTAACATGTAATGATAAAACAACAAGCAAAAGAAACCCCTCTTTCATAAGATGAAACAGAAAGGATCACAAGAAGAAGGCTTAGAAACCTAAAAAATGCAATAGTGTAATGGTTTTCAATCTTTTCTCATTTGCAGACCCCTAAGCAATTCTGAATGGAGATATGGAACCTTCTGAAAATAGACATAGTGTGCAGAGCCCAGGGAGTCTGCAAAACTACAGATTTAAAACCATTTTTTTATTACTCAAACTGGAGTCTTGTTTACAAGAAGCAAGAAAACTCTGCTGTTAAAACTTATGTATTTCCCTGCTTTCAAGGAACATATGCTTCAGGATATGATCTTCTCTAAGCAGAGTCTATATCTCTTCCAAAACACTTAAGATATAATCCCCAATGGAATCAGTGGAGCCATGTAAATTGAGAGTAGACGAGGAGCTTTCCTGTTGTTTTCTGTGTACTGTTGTTTTTGACAATTTTAATCTTTACCATTGTAACTCTATAGTCTTGTTGTCTACTTAGGCAGTATTGAAAACACTTCTAATCTCCTCTACTCAAAGCATCTTGTGCTAATGCGTTTTATGGATTAATTGTGCATAATTTGCTGTCTTTCAATTTTATTTAATGCTTCCTTGCCATTATTTATTATTTGTATTACATTAGTGCCTAGAGGCCTTAACTAAGATCAAGGTCTATTTTGCTCAGAGCTTTGCTTACAGTGCGTACGAACATACAATTCACTTTTCAAATAGCTTACCTATTAAACAGGAGTGATAGAAAGTGGGAGAAAAGAAGTATTATCCCCATTTTACAGTATGGGAACAATTTCAAAGAGATATTAAATGACTTGTTTGAAATTGCCCAGGGAGTCTGTTGGAGAAAACAAATGAACAATTTAGCTACTGTATATTATTGGTCCTGTATTCATCAGCAAGTGCCCAGAGCACCAGCATAAAGTGATTCTGAGCATTAGCCTAAGCCTTCAGAGACCTAGGTTTAACCCTTGGTCTGCTACAGACTTCCTGTGTGTAGCCCAGTAGTGCTCTGGGAGAGGTTCCTCCTCCTTTGAGTCAGAGGGTGGCCACTCCAACCCACTATGTGACTACTCAATTTTTGGGGGAAATGAGCCATGCTGGCCATTTACCTTAAGTCAGTCCACAGGCCCTGATTCTTGGTGAGGCAACAAGTAACAATTCGCAGGCCCAGGCCCTCGTTCAGGGCGGGGCAGCAAACACAAACAGTCACAAGTCCAATTGGAAACACAGTCAGATATCCTTGCTCAGGTGGGGCTCTGGCAAATGCAGGCTATCATTATAGAACAGCCAAGGGGGGAGACTGCCACCCAGAATGGGGTAGCAGGGGGAATGCAGTCCTGCCCACTCCATTGTGTCCCAGCTCAGGGCCCTACAGCAGCAGAGCAGTCTGCTACCAGGTCAGCGAGGATCCTCACCATAACACGCTGACCCTGAATCAGGCCAACTACAGGTGGCTATCCCCGGGCTGCTTCCATCTCTCCCTCTCAGCGCATGCTGGCTCCCACGCAGGTCTATTGTTCTCTCTAGGGCTGGAATGTCTGGCCAGGTAAGCACCTCCTACAGGTCATAGTCCAACTGGGAGCCTAGCAGTCCAGGCCAGTCCTCAGCTTCCCTCAGGTCCAGCGCCCCACATGGGAGTGTAGGGGAGGCCTCTGGTTCCTCTGGTGGCTGCCCCTCCTCCTGGCTTCTGGTCAGGTGGTGCGCTGGGGCCAGGCACAGCCCACCAGGGCTCTGCGAGAGGTTCCTCCCCCTCTGGGTCAGTGGGCAGCCACTCCGACCCACTATACTGTGCAACATGTGGCAAGTCACCTAGGCCTAGATGCCAAATACTTTTGAAGATCACAGATTTTTTCATCTGTAAGATGGAGACAACAGCACTTCCCTATGTTTCAGGGAGTCGTGAGGCATATGCACTGACTCTGTGGGTACTCTGAGGCTGCAGCACCCACAGGGAAAAAATTGGTGGGTGCTGAGCATGCACCAGTAAGCCCTGTGTATCAATGCTAGCCCCTGCCTCTCCTCACCTCCAGCCCACCATAGTCAGCTGTTCTGCAGCATTTTGGAGGCTCAGACAGAAGGGAGTAGGAAGGAAAGTGGATGCAGTGTGCTCAGGGGAGGGGACTGACCTGAGTGTGAAGAGGCAGGGGAAGGGTTGAGCAGGGGCAGGAAAAGGCAGAGCAGAGTGGGACCTTCAGGGAAGGGTTAGAGTAGGGACAGAGCTAGGGGCAGTCACCCCTCAGCACTTTTGAAAGTCAGCACCTGTGTTATAAAGATTAATACATTAAAGAAGCATAAAAAGCCACCACGTACTAAATCACTTACTACAACTGTCCTATTGAGTAATTGAAGAAGGTTACACCTGAAAAGAAGACTAATATTGCATTCAGAGTTATGCAATACTTACATCAGGAGCTGTGTATGAGACGTCTAAAAATAACACCCCTCACACACAGAGATAGCCCTACAGAAATCCCTTTTCTTTTATCCTAAGAAAAAATCTAAGGTGTTTAATCAAACCATTGTAGTGAGTGGCTAGCTATGTATTTCAGATGAAAGATGAACTGGCAGAAACAAAATAATTGGCCCACCAACTGCAAAATGGACCAGAGAAATTGGAAAGTGAAATATAACCCCAAAGAGAATTTACACA